GGCCGCGGCCCTGGAGGCCAGCTCGCGGTCCTCGTCGGAGGCCTGCTTCTTGAGCATCTTCTGCGCGGCCATGATCTTCTGGCGTTCGGTGATGAGGTAGCACTTCTCGCAATTGCACTGCTTCCAGCGGCACTTGCCCGCATGGCCCTTGACGGCCACCAGGTAGCCATGGTTGCGGCACCGCGAGCAGTTGGGGGTGCGCAGCATCGTGGCCAGCTTGGCGAGGTCTGCTTTCATAGCACAACCGCCGCCTCTGGGAGCTGCGGAGCGAGTGAGGCGGGAAGCCGCGCCCCAGAAGCCCCCGGTGCTGGGGACACTGGATACACTTGTAGCAAAGCGGCTCCCGGCACGTCCCCGGAACTGCCGCAAGACCCTCGCACTTTCCCAGCTTCGGAGGGGGGCCCGATTTGGAGTTTCTCTGCCTTAGCTCGATGCAGGGGGGCAAATAAATTTTACATGAAATGCTATTGCTTGTATGTCCTCTGGGTTATCTGAAGGTTTAGGCATTTAATATTCCAAAGTCTCTGTTCTCGTCACTCGGAGACACGGTCGTCTGTGACGTCAGTAGGCGCAGTGAGGTGCAGTGGTCCACGGATTTAAAGCTCCAGCAGCGCAGTTCCTGGCAAAGCCGTCCCAGCAGGAAAGCATTCTACGACGCCAGCCGTGTTCCTCCCCCCAAAGCAGCTGCCCCCTCTGCACTTCATTTCTCTACCCTGCAGAGACGCGGCCCTTCCCAGTGATGCTTCTAGAATATTCTCAAGAGCTCGGTGCAGCCCTAACTGGTTTGGCTCGGTGGATAGAGCCTGGGCCTGCGGACTGGGGGGTCCCGGTTCGATTCCGCTCAAGGGCATGTACCTGGGTTACGGGCTCATCCCTAGCGGGGCGGGGGGTGGAGGAAGCGGCTGATCGAAGCGGTTTCTCTCTCATGGATGTTTCTGACTATCGCTCTCCCCTCCTCTCTGTAAAAAAATCAATAAAATATATATATTTTTAAAAAGAGCTCAGTGCAGTGTGATCGCTGCTCAAGGGCGCGTCCCGTTAGTAGTTCCCATCTAAGTGTCTTGTTGGTGTAGGGGTTCATTGCTGCCCATGCTTCCCAAAGTAAAGCATACTTAGGACGCTTTAAAGTAAAATAGACTCAGGGCATTTTAGCACGAGTTGGAATCATTGCTTAACTTTGCCATGAATTTAGTTATACCTGTAAAGCGACCCAAATCTTGGGACGTCGGAAAAGCTCAAAATCGCTTCATTTTCTTGTTTGATAGACATTTGTGACACCTGCGGTCTTTGTCTTTTTTAGGTTCCCAGAAAGAAAAACAACCGGCCACTCACACCTAAGTTGAAAGCTTATAATCATAGAATCAAACATATTGAAGGAGGTGGTGTGGCTAACCCCTGACTAAAACGTGCCCTTGAAATTGCCCTTCTCTGAAACTCTCTGGGGGCAGAAGGGCAGGAGCTGAGGCCTCTGGTTGCAGCTGACAACCCCTTCCTCACCGCCGCCTGAGAATAGGAAACTGTGCCATTCTGAGGCCGGTTAGATACCGGGAGGCTTTTGTAAAGGCGTTTCTATATTCCTATCTTATTAAGAGGGCAAGAGTATATATATCCTTTTTAATTTGGCCCTTCAGGAATTTTACTGTTAATTTCACATCCATTTAAAAAAATCTAGGTTTGTCTCTCCTTTGCTCTAATATCCTCTATCTTAATTTTTTGTTGTTGTTAATCCTCACCCAAGGATATTTTTTCCATTGATTTTTAGAGCGAGTGGACGGGGGGTGGGGAGACAGAGTGAGAGAAACATTGAAGTGAGAGAGACACATTGATTGGGTGCTTCTCACATGTATCCCAACCTTGACCAGAGTCAAGTCTGCAACCCTTCAATCCAAGGGCCAATGCTCTAACCATTGAGCTAGACAGGCTAGGACTCTACCTTAATTTTTTATTTTAAAAACATGGTCCCATAGATAAAAGGACAAGCAAGCTTTTTTTTCTGACTCGACCCAATTCAAAAAATCAATTTTTTTTCACGATCCTGTCATTTGAAAATGGTACTTAAAAATCATAGTTTCAATACTACTGTCAAAAATCTGGAGCATTAGCTTCATTGTTTAATGATACTGCAAATCGTAAGGTCATTTTCTGCATTATCAAATTTCAATTTTTAACATCAGGTGACATCAGATTTGATAAGGCCTAAAAAAGAAAACCACTCATATATATTTTCTGCCTGAGCACCCATGCTCTCTTCATTTTCCTATTAATGATTTAAAGTAAAATCCTATTCGAAGCCAACTCTATGAATTAACATATTTTAGCCTTGTTAACTACAAAATGCTTCCTAATTTACTTTATAGCTTAGGGGTAAAATATACCCAAGGTGATGTGAGTTTGCATAGTTCTTTGAGAATATTAATAAACAACCATATATCTTTTTAATCAGTAGTCACATTGTAAGATGTAGAAACCCCAGAGTTTATACAGGAAATAAATCTAAGAAGAAAAAAAAGACTAGTTTATTTCTCTTCCTTGCCGAAGTCTCAATTTGTGTAGGTAAATTCCAACAGAGTTTTATTTATTTCACTCTTGGAAATTCAGACAAATTGATAGCTTTGTTTTATTTAGCTTGAGGACTGATGACTTCTTAGGCTGCTGCTTTTCTAATATATGCATTTCTTTAAATTGTTCCTTAAAAAAAATGGTAACAGATAGCAATGACATAAACATGAAAAATGAAGTTAAAAGGATGGGACCAATAAGTACACAACATTCCCCTTCCTCTCCTACACCTAACCTTAGGAAATTTATGTTTAGGAAAGTCTGCATTGTCATAAGCAATGGTTTATAAAATAATAAGTTATAGTTGCCGAGGAATCAGCAATTAGACTAATTAACCATGAAGGGCTGGTTGGTGGTCATATCTGCCTCACAGCTTCAGTAATGTCCCCTTTTCCCTCAGAGTCCCAAGTTTTCTACCTTGAATAATGTCTCTTCTCTTTAGTTAATATGGTTGCTATTGGTAATGTTTAATTCTTATTCATTGCAAAGAGCCCTATATTATGCAACACATGCGGTATTATTTATAATCATTAAATATTGTATGCACTGTAATATTTCCTTACTAGTAGCACACAAGAGTAAGGCAGGCCTTTTTTGCTGATAGCATCTTTCTTTCCCCCAGCAGCTATAACCCAGATATCTGCTATCTTCCCCTTCTTCAGGCTCTCTCGAGTGAGCAATGAAAAGTTTAGTGAAGATTTTGTAGGGAATGGAGGGGAGTATTTATATGACACCTCCTATACCCGATGCTTTAAAATCCTGCCGTAGCGTGTCTGTTCTCTCAAGATCCTCTTCTGCTGTGCTACACCCACTGGGGAGAAACTGTCTGCCCTCCCTTTTCTACCCCCACCCCTCGTATCCAGCCTCTCTAGCTCTCTTTTCTGAGAGCTCTGTAACAGCTATGACTATCTTATTTTCCTTTATGTCTAGCACAAAATAGACATTCAGTAAATATTTGTTGAATGTATAAATGAGTCTTGCCTCCCTCTCCTGCCAATGTCAAAGTTATAATTGGCACAGTAAATCAACTTGGCTTCAGCAATTTTCACCAAACATTATACAAAACAGAAAGCCCAAAGTGAATAGGGCCACTCTCATGAGAAGCAGAATTTGGGGATTAACTTTGGTTCCTTGAATTCACCCCTATCCCTAATCTATATATATAAAAAGCCAGCAACCATAACGACCGTAACAACCTAACCACCGGTGGCTATGATGCCCACTGTGGCCAGCGAACCAGCCTGATGCAGGGTGGGGCCAGCTGGCCAACCTCGCAGCCCCCTCCCCCCTGCCGGCCCACCACTGATAGGACTCTCCCACCCCATCAAGGGCAGGTCCAGTCGGCCAAATGCACCCCACTTCTCCCCCACCAGCCCTGCCCCCAATTGGCCTGCTCCACCACATCGGGTCAAGGTGGCTTTATCGACAGAGAAACCGCCTCAGATTCATTCTACAAGATTTGTGCCGATGTATGGAATTGCAGAGACCACAGCCCCTCCCCATGGCCAGCCCCACACTCAATTGGCCCCCCAACCCCAATTGGGGGCGGGGCCCGCTGGCCAACCACCCATGGCCCCTTCTCCCAGCCGACCAGCCCTGATCCGCCCTGATTGGGGCTGGGCCAGCCGGACCCCACCCGTTCACAAATTCATTCACTGGGCCTCTAGTGCAGCGGTTCTCAACCTGTGGGTCAAACGACCCTTTCACAGGGGTCACCTAAGACCATCCTGCATATCAGATATTTACATTACGATTCATTACAGTAGCAACATTACAGTTATGAAGTAGCAACAAAAATAATTTTATGGTTGGGTCACACCATGAGGAACTGTATTTAAAGGGCCAGAAGGTTGAGAACCACTGCTCTAGTGGTTTAATAATAGTAATAACTAGCACTAAGTGTCTACCTGTGCCAGTAATTCTTAAGTCCTTTATGTGTATGAATGCATCTAATTCTCACAACTCTCTAAGGTAAGTGCTATTATTTTCACCCTCATTTTACACATGAAGAAACTAAGGCCTAGGGAAGTTAAGTAACTTGCCCAAAGTTTTATAGCCATTAAATGGCAGAGCCATGAATCAAAGACAGGAAATTGATCCTCAGAGTCCATGTTCTTAACCATATATCTGCTAACTCAACATTTCTTTTAAACAAACACAGTGCTCTCCTCAAGAAAAGTTTGGTGATGAATAGAAATGTTTGTCTTGTTACATATCCTGTCACAGTTGAGGCAAAAGGGGGTGAAGGTGGTAGCAACCTGGGGAAACTTCCTAGGACACCCAGCTTAGTTGTTTTCCTCCACCAACAGCCAATATTTATTAAGTACCAACTATGTGCTAAATATAAGGGGCACAGAAGGAAATAAAAAGACGGGATCCTTATCTTTAGGCATATTTTCTATCTGGCAAACCATACAATAAACAATTCCAAACGAAGGGGGAGTGGTAGGGTGAAGAAGGGGGCAGGATACTACGGGAACCCATATGAGGGTCCTAAACTACATCAAGAAATCAAGGAAGACTTCCTTGAAGGACTGATTTCTAAGCTGAGGTCTAAAGGATGAGTAGGAATTAGCCAGGTACAGGAGTAGGAAAGGTGTGTTCCTGACAGAGGGAACAACATGGAAGGTCTGCAGTGTGGCTATAATAGTGAGGTCAGGACACTGGAGAGAGATGAG